ATCTTCCCTAGGATACCTTGTACACAGGACCAAAACCACCTTCTCCGATTTTATTGGCAGGATCAAAATTGTTCGTGGCAGCTCTAATTTGCCTTAGGGTAAATAATCCAGTGTGTTGGCCTAGACCCTTTAGATCTAGAAAAAAGAGTTATTGAAATAGTTTTAGAGATTTCTAGTGAATAGACACATTTAAAGAAGATGGACAGAGTTAATTAGACTGCACTAGATTATATTATGTGCATGAAGAACTGCGTACAGCATTCTGTAATCCGTATACGCAAATGAACAGTAAGATGATGACTGTTTGCCCCAATGTTCAATAATTGTATTTACCTTGTTCTAGAGTATCTTTTGGTCTGAGACAGCCCTTCCACCAAAAAATACCCAGAACCAGCAAGACCGTAATTAGAACAGCAATCACTATCCCAATTATAGTGCCAACAGACATGCTGTTTCCTTTATCTGATGGACCGGGAAAAAACAGAGAGAGGAATAGATTAGATTAAAAGTCAAGGTAACATATTTGCTACTTTTTGAACAATATTCTATGCAAACTATTAACAACAAAAACACTAATCCATATGCTCAACAAAATTTGGGGATGGCCACATAAATGTTTTTCACCGTTCCAATTGATGCATCACTAAATTCACTGAATTACCCGATGAAATCAAGAAGTTTTTTTTTTTTGGTCTAGCTTATTTATTATGTGATTGCACCATCGTTGTGAATGAAAGCTTTTATAGGTCTATGAAACTTGTCTTAACAAACAAATTCTTCATTCCCATCATTGATGCTCAATTCCTGTCACTCACTTGTTGCCAAATATTCCCAATACTTATTCTATCCATTCTAGTACATTCCTATGCTAGCATCTTCATTTCTGCTATGTTTTGATAGTTCAATACTCAATGTCACAAAGCAAAGTTGGTCTAATAACAATTATCTAGAACTTTTTAACTTTATATGTGACCAAATAGAATCATTATAGAATTTATCATTTCTTCAACTCCCTCTGATCAATAGCGTTACATCATCTTTAATACCTT